CTCTCCTAGCAAAACCCTGTAACCTCTATATATTCAATTACTTATTCGTATAATGAAATGTGATATACTCCCCACTTGGAAGGAGGTAAATATAACGGGAAATATTTAGTGGTGGTGATGAGCATGGGGTGGAGTGTGGGGGGGGGGGGGCGCTCCGTCACTACAGCGTTGGATGTGCTGTCAAAACGAACAAATGAATATCTTTATTCTGAAAGTTTATCATTAAATAATGCCCCAAAAATTATACAGCTTAAAACATCGTTTGAGACGTGTTCGATTGTATTATCTCGAGTACTCGACTTTGCATCTCATGCGCTTGACTTAGTATCTCGAGCGCTCGACTAAATATTTCGAGCGCTCGAGATATTTTTTTTGATTTTCTTTTTTGCGTGTCCTAAATCAGCCACCAGCGACCATGGGCTTCAGTCCCCGTTTTAATCTGTTATGAATAAGAGAGATCGTGAAGTCATATTCAAAGGGTAATAATTGTTGTTATAAGCCTTAATTAATGTTATGTTTTTATTCTTAAATTGTCTTACTGTTATTCATTATTGATCATTGCTTGATAAATATACCTGAAAGAGTACTGAAACGTTGCATGCAATACATAAAGAAGTATTAAATCCAAAAAATTGTGTTATTATGAATACTTCTCTATTATTTAATAACGATGTTTCGTAACACATATAGGCCACGTTTTCAAGTTAATGATTTGGATATTAAAATATCCATCTAGTCAGTCGTTATTAAATAATAGAGAAGTAGTTATATCCATATATACCTTGTGTTGTGTTTTGTTATGAATAGTTAACCGTGCTTCTAGATGTCATTTAAAGATTTGACAAAATAATAATTTTAAAAAAAAAACGTGTAAAATACTAAGCAGGCGTAAACGACTGCCGTTCAGTTTCACCGAACATAATCAATTATGTTCACGCCTGCTTAGTATTTTACACGCTTTTTTTAAAAATTATTATTTTGATATATATATATATATATATATATATATATATATATATATATTCTTAAAAAAAACAACAACTGAAGATTGGTCTTCATATAAATTCATTACCAACCGGTTTCACAACATAGTGATCATCAGGGTAACTTATACATTGTGTTGCTAATGGTATAGTGTTACCAATGGCAAAGGACGTGATTCATATATATATATATTCTTAAAAAAAAAAACAACTGAAGATTGGTCTTCATATAAATTCATTACCAACCGGTTTCACAACATGGTGATCATCAGGGTAACTTATACATTGTGTTGCTAATGGTATAGTGTTACCAATGGCAAAGGACGTGATTCATAGCGTCATACGCAGTAAATGTGACGTCAACATGATTTTATGTTAGTTACAGTTTAATTTAGGGGTATATCCTTCATTTTGTATGTAATATAGGACAGATTGTGAACTGGGGATTGCAATTCTTTTCGCATTCATCTATATGTGCGCTAAGGGGTATACATCTATAATATGGGGTTTTAATTTGTTGTTTATGTACTCGGACCCTTTGCTCTCAATACATCCCCCGTTTGACCAATATATTCTTCGCCACAACCAGCGCATGCTATTACATATATTAGGTTTCTAGAGGCGCAAGAAATATTTTCCATTATCATGAATTTTGAGTTATTCCCAAAGGTGAATGAATTTACCTCCAAAATGTGTGAACATGTGCCGTAATTCGGCCTATTACATTTCGTGATACTTCCACCTAACCACCCGATTAGATTTTATTACATACTTCGAGAAGGTATTTGTTGAGTAATAAAACCTTCTAGTAGTTTATCAAGGGCTGGCCGACCTTACCGCACGGTACAAATATTATCACCACTAGAAGCTACAAATTCCAGAACAAACCAGAACTCATACCAAAATGGCCGCTTTATACAAATGAGTATTTAGGGGAATACTAACCCGAGCCCTAACCATAACCCTTTTAAGTAAAGTAAAAACTAAATTAGACCCAAGTTCAGTCTTTTAAAAAGGATTAGGGTTATCGGGAGGTGAGGGTTCTTTACCACTGAGCTATCGCACAACCATATCGAACCTCGATAAACTACTAGAAGGTTTTATTTGTACCGTGCGGTAAGGACGGTCAGCCATCGATAAACTACTTGAAGGTTTTATTAGTCTACAAATTCCTTCTCGAAGTATGTAATAAAATCTAATCGGGTGACCTAACACAGGTTTTTGATCAATAAAGCACGCTTTTGATAACAGTTGTTTCAGAATTTTGCTACCATCATTCTTTGAACTAAATGACTCACAATTCGCTTACTTGACTGAAACGCTATTAACTTTACCCTATCCTCAAGAAATGCGGCAAGAACATAGTATTTCTCAATATTTTAAACCCAGTTCTTAAATGTTTTGGATCCCTACTGTATGGTTCAATGTTGTATTTTCCTTTCGTGACCAACACTGCAGACTACAGGTCAGGTTCTTCCTACCGGCAGGGATTATTACTTAATTTGGATAATAAAATACATTCCATCACCGTTGGTGCAGTTTCATAAAAATGAGAGGATATGATATGTTTATGACCATCAAAAGGTAAATGACCAAGATGTTTATTAACGTATGGTCATTTAATTATCAAATTACCACCCATTACCGTTCATGTAAGTGCTATATTTAATGTTTATGAATTTGAAACCAATAATTGGTCAAAGTCATAATATTGTTACACGATGACCTTTATATTTAAGGTTATTTCACATATTTAAGAAATGTTCTTTTTAAAAGCAATACAGATAATCACTGCTGTAACAAAGGGTGAAATCTCTGCCGTCTTTTTGACCTAACCGCTGTTACCAACATCAATATGATTATTGTTAAGATAAGCTACTGCCATATTGGAATGGTCATGTCGGAGAACCCGCCGACCTTTAATTTATTTATTTATTAGTATTCAGCTGTCATCATAATTCTTTTTATTCGATATCAATAATATGTAACTTCATACCTCACCTATAAATTGGTTAGGTTTCTGATGAAGTCAGTTCAGTTAGTTGAGTTGAGTAGCTCAACACAGAACCATGGAGGCAGACGTGAATTAAGACGATGGCCGTAAAGATTACAATATTATAATATGTATTGTTTGTTATACATGTAGTGTAGTTTAATGTTTGTTACCGTCTTGCTGAATTAAAGAAGTCCAATCCACAGTCATTAGATGATCTGATTATGTTACACGGCAGTATAATTGAACAACCAAAAACAGACATAGGAAATTGCATATATAGAATTACATAGGAGACCGTTAAAAAAAAATATCCAAGCGGATATGAACATTGAGTAGTCAGAAATATCTGACCTCTTCTGGGTCACTGATAACTCTTTGGGACTGATATTGGACAGGGGAGGCTTCTGAACTTATTCATTGGACGAAACCTGTCGAATCACGCCTTCACAGCGATCTTTGTTTGACGTAGTGACTTCACGGGAATCAACACCATTAAGCCATTTCCTGTTGCATGGACAAAGAGGGTTCCAGATGGTTCTATATTTAGGAGTAAACATAGAAATGTGGGTTTGAGGGGGAGAGGGAAAATGTTTATCGAAAACACGGAATGCTTAGCAGATGGCAGTACAGAAAAGTTTTACCCGTATATTTTAAAATATACATATAGTCATCTTATATCCTTTACAAATCAAAAAGAATATTAAATAAGTATTTATTAACCAAATACCAGACACTTATCGTTTTCTAAGTTAAAGCTGTATGTGACTGTCAAAGTATAGTTATACCCATCGAAACGCGCTTTGCCTCTCTGCGTTTCGTTTTTCCTGGCAACCGGACTTGCCGGGCGTTTACAAGATTTCATAAGTGGGTACTATCTCTGCGATTTGCTATCGAATGATGTGGAATTTCATAGCAGTCTTCCTAAACCGCATTTCTCATTTCTGTACACCGAAAATGGGGGGGGGGGGTCTCATTCCTTAACGAGTGCGCGTTAGATTGTAAGGTCTGTCATTTAGTCGTGGTTTCGATTCCCCGCTTGTATACTTGTCGAACCACGTGTGATTCCCCCAGCATAACCTCAGAATCGTGTTGTATCCCTTACATACTAAGTAGTATGGTTTCGATGCCCAGCTTGTGCATAACATGGAGTAGGGTCGCCTGTTCAGCCTCGTGGGATGTATTCTGACTCCCCCGGTTTCCACCCACTGCTGAAGACCCCTAACTGCAAACAAATTATACAATTGAACACTATCTTGTATCGAGTGAGCGTTAAAGCCCATTTCTCTAGTTTGTAGAGTGTTAACAAACAATTGTTGACAACGGGTCTTGAGAGATCTTCATTTTACCCTGGGTCAATACCTTTAAAATGTTGCAAATTACTTTTAAATTTCTACTTTGTGTTTGTACTGTGTGTTTAAAATAAAGAGTTTACAGTAAAAATACATGTATATAGTGACCGATTAATGTCGTCACGCATTAACATTTAATGAGCCGGTGAAACATATCACAATATTATATTTCTTTTATGATGACAAATTATATTTTGAACAATGTATAAAAGTCATCAGACTTTTTTCAATTGTTCCGTTCCGTTCCGCAGACAAGCATCTAGCTTAAAGGGCTTAAGTCTCTAACTCAATATTTTCCATGATATTCGAAATAATTTCGAATATCATGGAAAATATTGAGTTAGAGACTAAAAAACACGATTAAAATTCAATATTGATCAATTTCGATCAATATTGATTATGTTATCTTGCCGTGAAACTATATGATTCTAATATCCAATATTTAAGACACAATTAACATTTTATATTCAGTGCACGAGTCGTAAAGAACAAATAAAAACATATCCTACAACACAATGTTGAATTAATTAGTAAAGTCTGATTCACAAACGACAAAATGTTATCAGTCACATCTATATTTGCTCCAGTAGCATTCGATAATTTCATTTAACGCTCATAGAAGTGTGCAACAACAGTTCTGAACAATTCATCCTTGATGAAAGTGGTGTGAAAAATAATCATAAAAAAGTGGAATTTTAAATTGTGCAAAATACTTGGACAGTGAAGACAGAAAACTTTGTAATATATGAATACAATAATGTTTAAAAAGGAGGTTAAAGGTAAGATATTATTATGAACTTTATAATACATTATGATATACATGTATTTCTTGAGAGTGTGGGAGGTTACATGTGTGTGTTAAGTGTGGAGTGAGGTGGGGTAGTATAGCGGTTAGGGACAGATATAACACAAGGATATAGCGTAATGCCTTATTTTTTTTATTAGTATCAGAAGCCATTTGAACTACTTTGTTTTGTAACCTTTACAGAGATGTATCGTGGGGCGTTGCCGTAGCTTTTGATTTAATATTGTCATGGACGTCCATGGTATTGGGTATTCATCAAAGGATCTTTCTTTTAAGGGAATCTTTACAGTTAATTAAACAGTTAATAGTATCATAAATCTGAACCATGTTGTGAGTAAGTACGTTAATACGTCATCTTGATATTCGTTCTGTCAAGAAAAAACGTTAGGTCTACACTTGGGGAGTATTATACCCTTCCAATACCAACATGAAAAGGGTTTATTAACAAAAAGAACAGTCTTTAAAAAGAGACATACTTAACGTTACATGGCCCGATTGGCCTATTTCCTTCCGCTAAAACTATGTCCATGTATTAATTTTATTCATATTGTTACAATCGATTGTAGTTTACAAAGTCACGATCCCCCCAATACCTCGATCAGACAAATCTAGACAACAACCCATTTAATAACATGTATACAAATGATAAAATGATATTGGAACAAATAAGTATAATAGTGTTGATCAGAATCAATGTACATGATTACTCAAAGTATTTAGTCCAATTTTACAAGTATTCGGTTGAAATCTTCTTTTCTCTCGGTGCTTCTACTGCTTTGAAGTAGTAGTCCTTTACAAATGTCATCTCGGCATTGCCGTAATAATGCCCGGATTGACAGAATTACACAGGATCTTGCTCATTCAAAACTGACAGGATGAATAATCCTTGGATCGGTATGATTCGGCGTGGTAATAATCCACAACAGAGAGATCAAGTCTCTCAAAACAGCACAATGTAACACAGAGAGATAATTTCTTTCAAAACAACACAATAGTGCAACAGAACGAAATGGCAATAAATCGAAAACACCGACCACGTGGGTCAAATATACATGTATAGAAACTTACGACAAACGTTAAGTTCTGTTCGAAGTCCTAAGAAAGTTCTGTCTTAATACTACTCTGGTCCGGCTGAAGGTTTTAGGAAATTCTAGAACTTTTCAACTTTTTCTAAAACCCTCCAGAACCTTCCAATTATTTATAAATAATGTTTCCAGAAGTGTCCAAGCTTTCTAGCAGTTTCCAAATGACAATTCTAGGAAGTTTGATCACCTAAAATGGTAGTAAACGATAAATTTTGATGGATTATTATGACCTTATCACAATAAAACAAGTGTAACTGGATGCTTTTCGCCACCAGTGACCTCGAAGTTCCCAAAAAATGATTGCATCTCCATACTTTAATATAATTTAGTTCATTTTGAAATATTTAAAATATACATAAATATATTTTAGATAAATTTAAAGTATTTAAAATAGCACAAATGTTTTATTTATCATTAATTAAAACATAGATATGACGTCACCCTTTGATGTTTTTAGCCAGTACATATACATGTATAGGAGAATGTACGCTTTTCTTAATCAATCGTCTATTATTTATAAAACTGTGCATTATTTATTGAAAATAATGGACAGGTTTAACAATAATAGACACTTATCTGAAAAATGAACACGTATTTTTTGATAATTTATTCTCTGGACAAATTATATTACAGTACATGAAATTACTTTAAAACCTCATAGTTACCAAAATGCCACATTACCGTATGTTGTCGTATTGTTGATTTCGCTTGTTTGTCTACATAAAGAATTCCACTTAAATTCGTCCGTTAGATCCATGATACGTTTTTATACGCCCACATTTTCACACATTGTGGACCCTCTACGGGTCATGACTGGAAATATAGATATATATCCCAAAGATCCCGGTTCCTTTCGATATTGGCTTGTATAGGACCGTAACTTCATGGATTATGGCCCCTGATTGTGCACACTAGAGGTCACAATTTTTAGCCCATTTTGATGAAACTGAACATGTGTGTTTATAACCCAAAGATCTCGATTCCTTGCGATATTGGCGCCTGATTGAACAAAATAAAAACGTGTTTTGAGCCTGTGGAACCTATACAGGTCACAATTTTTATCCGATTTTAAAACTATTCAAATATATTACCGTTACACCATAATAACAGTTGAGTTCGAATTTCGTGAATTGGTTTGTGCCTTTGATCCTGTGTCCTGTCACTTATATTAGAGTATATATTAAATTTCAAATCAAAATTCGGACGGCTAGTACCCTCCATATTAACCACAGTACTAAGAAAATTATCAATATCTAAAATCATTTTCGTGAGTAGCCTTTCCATCACAACTTTGACGGCTATTATCCCCGATATCACAATTCTACGGCTATTATCTTCCATATCGAGTACATTACCATATGTAATAAATATCAAAATGCTTATACATATATTCTCATTATTAATATTTGTTTTCGACTGTGTTGTAAACATGTCGTCTCCATGTAGAATATTTTGGACTGTCTGTGTATGCTTGCATTGTATGACTGTGGTGTTTTGTCACATGCATTCATGGGCATGTGCATGTTGTTTTACGAATATATCCATAATTTTGTGGCTTGTTCTTTTAGAAAACTATCCATTATTTGTATCTCTATGGTGCTATGTTTTAAGTTTGATAATAGCCTCAGACTGTCCATTATGTAAATACAAAGAAAAATTTCGAGGCTAACGCCCCTCAGTTGTTCTTTCAATTTACATAATGGACAGTCTTTGGCCATTATCCATCACTGATACGCCAGTAAAATCCGATGTTTCACTTATAGATAATTTATATTCTCTAAAATCTTTGTATAACGTCTTTTTTTAAAACGCCATGCTTTAAAAATTTCAAAAATTATAGAATTTTATCCTCCATCTTTTAAGATACGTGTTTGTGTAAAAAAAAATGGTTGTCTTTTTTTAATATTTTAGAAAAACTTGAAAAATTGGATAGTACCAAGCTGCCACTGGGTCATGAAATTAAGGAATCGTATACTGGAAAATTTACATCATGTCGATGGATGATTGGCTATATGTGCTGTGCGGCACGATTCAGTCAATCAGCTATTCGACAACTCATCGGTATGGCCACCGTGTGTATGACTTTGCAGAGGGTCGTTGAATATCAGGTGACCCCTAAAGACATGGAAGAATTCCATCCAAATGCTAGCCTGAATGCAACAAAATTAGTTAAGAAAGAGGTATAATGTTTTGCAATTTTATAATAAAAAATATATCAAAAAGTATCAAATCACAAATATAATATCATCGCTTAATATATGCTGTATAAGTGGGCCAAGGAGCTTCCCACGGGGGACACCGCGCAGATGTCATTTGACTAATTTGCTTATATTTTGTAACTCCCGACTCTTCATATCAACATGTTAGTATACAGGTCAAAATTCTATGGAATACAATTACTGCTTATTACTGATCGAGGTTTCGACTAGGCTTCTCTAGTCATTATCAAGCAATGATAAAATATACACATATGACAATATATACATACACGACAATACTTGGTTAATGCTGATCAACCAGAGATACCCCTTAATTAAGGATTATAAAGTTTAATACTAATAACAACATTCAATAAGACCAATTTACCTGAAAATTAACACAAATTGATTAATTGATTAATGGATAACTTGTTGTGGAGTATATACAATGATTTATTAGATCTTAATAATGTCAAACGATCAAAGAAAATGTTATTTGATCAAATGTTATCAACGACCGCTTAACCTGAAATAAACCCCAATGATTAATGGATAGCTTGTTGTGGAGTCTTACAATGATATTTGATGGGATTTGATTGGTATTTTAACGTAAAATGTTGCTATATATGCATGTAGATGTAAGTGATTCCACTTTTATACGAAAAACCCTTAGAACAATGACTGCAAAAATGATCAATGGTCCCCTGAAGGTCGGCTATTTGACTTAGTGAGTAGTATTTTTACTGGATGCTATAGTGATTTAGAAAGGCAGGATTTGAACTATTAAGTGCATTGAATTTCGATAACAGCAGCCCTGAAAAGCAAAAATAGTAGCCAATTATTAATTATCATTTTTTTTTACAAATTATAGTAATTATTACAAACTTAGATTATTACTAGAATATTGTTAAGTATTAAATGTGATTAAATAAAAATTATTATGCTTAGTCTATGATGATGTAATAAGAGTATCATACGCCCTGGGGAGGAACAATCCCTGATTTGTGTTTAGTGCTGTTACTTTTTGTAAAAGTTACATCTATTTCTGGTTGTTGCATTAGTAGCCGTTTGATTTGGTAGGAGACTTTGCCGTTGAAAGGAAGGAAGATTCGGACTGGGGCATTCGGGGTTTTGGGTTTAGTTGCACTCGCAGCATGATTATCAAATTCCTTACGGCTTAATCTACTCTAATATGTATTCAGATTTGAAAACACAATCAACATATCAATGCTAGATTAACCCCGCCTTGGATTCAATCGGTTTAAAAACGGATCTATGAATTAGATTTCGCGAAACATAAAGATGGCGATGTACTATTTAGATACATGAAGAGCGCAGAATAGATCAATGGAATTTCGGTTCATCATATCTTTTTGAATATTGAACGGAATCGACGCATTGCTAAAATATTGTCTGGGATTAAAGGATTCCTTTATTGCTCAATTCACGCTCAGAGAAAAGTATATTTACGAAAGGTTCGAATACTAGGAATATTGTTGAAATCCATTCATTTTTTTTTTCTAACACTATTTATTCAATAAATATTTACATAATATAAATATAATATGTATAAATCTGGGATCTGAAAACAAGCCGGGGCTTATATAAATTCATCTCCCTATTTACAACAATATAAATACAGTGTTTGAAATTATAATCATAAATAATATAACGGTCTAAATTTACAAAGAAAAACGTATACTCACAATGTTGCAATATTATATCGGACATATCGTAGTTTAAGTACAAAGGGGGTTAATATACAGAAAGTAATGTAATGTATTGTAGTGTAGTGTAATGTGGTGTAATGTGGTTAGCGAAGCAATTATTTGATGATGATGATAGTAGTGGCGGGGGGGGGGGGGTGCGAACCCAAAATTGTGGATGGGGGGGGGGGGGAGAGAGAGAGAAATTCTGAAGTTTAATATCTAAAACGAGAAATGAAAAGCATCCGAGGGTAACAAAAAAAAAACAAAAAAAAATAGTTAGTCAGTAAACGGTAGATAAAGATAAAACCAAATGAAAACGATAAGTATCATCATTCATAAGGCGGTAAGTAGAAAAACCAGCAGGACATATTAATTGTCACCATTCGAGCAAGATGGTGTTAGTAGAATCAGCAGGACACGATAAGTATCAACAGTCAAGGGTCAAGAGACAGTAGGTGAATACAACGGGGTGCTGTAAATAAGACCAGCAGAACAGGATGAGTATCGTCAGTCGATGAGTATCAGGACCTATAACGGATTATCAATCAGGGAACAATAAATAAAATAAAATAAAATCAATTCATTTGTTTGTGCCAAGTTGCTTTCGTTTAAAAATAAATACGCTATACTTTTAGGAAGAAGATATTACATGGTCTTCAGAATTTGAGGGAACTGTTTTAGCAGCGTTTAATTTTGGTTTTACTGCCTCTCCTATAATCGGGGGATATATTGCCGAATATTTTGGCGGGAAAATGGTCATCACATTTTCCTTGATTGTCGGGTCTTTGGCAACCGTATTAACCCCGGTAGCAGCACGTGCTGATAAGGCGTTATTGGTGTTCATGAGGGTTGTAGCTGGTTTAGTCATGGTAAACATTTTTTATTATCCTAATTAAAAAAGTGTCACTGCTCGAAATAAGCGCTGAAATTACCGCACTAACTACTGTCATTTAGTTCTTGTTTTTGTTTTTTTAATGTGACAAACATCATTCTTGTATCCGATATCGAGTAGTTAAAATCTGACTTTTACCGAGATTATAAATGGTAATAATTGGTTATATTTTCTAGTATAAAATGTTCGCCAGCAGTTACATAAAAGAACATTATTTGCTTATGAATGTAATAATTCATTTTGCCATTGTATATGAAAGATTGGGTAGAAAATATCGGAGTAATTCATCACGAGCTGAGTCTCTCTAAAAATATTATAGTGGTAAAGTAGATAATTTGTAGGTCATTGGAATAAACTAAAAATATTGAGATCATTTTCCGAAATTCTGAAAGTTTAGTGATGGCATTCTGTACGCATGCACACATTTTACTCCGTTTAATCCAACCCCTTGTAATTTGCAGGGTGCCATAGATCCAGCTACCCAATCTCTGTGGTCCAAGTGGGCACCCATGTATGAAAAGAGTCAGCTGACATCATGTTCTTATTCAGGTATTATTTCATATAATCGTATTTTGTGTGGAATTTAGATTTCTACATAATACAAGCATTTTGAGTGATTAAACGGATAAAGCTGACAAATTTATAAATCCCATTTAATTCCGAAACCACAAATAATTGTGTTATAGGAGTATGCATAAACATGTATATTTTATTCCTTTTTTACAATTTTAAAAATAAAAAAACACTCACATAATATAGTATAGTCTTTGTTCTCCGTTATAGCGCCAGTGACCACACTCTGACCGTATGGCTTAACTTTTATAGATGTTTATTATATCTTAAAGTAACGATACATCATTGCTTTAATCGCTAAAATATAGAAATACTCGCTGGTTAACCCACGCTAATATGCTAATATGTACCAAAATTATTTAACATTTAATTAAGAAAACAATATTAAGGGTGACAACAATTTGCATCTGTAACATTAACATTAATGTGAATGTGTTGTTTTTAAAATGTATAGATCTATATGTACGGTTGGCATGGGCAATAACCCTGTGCATAAGTGATTTGTTGAAATGCACGAGGCAAGAAATCGACTGGACGGACTGACTTCAGTTTACTGTACAGAAACATTGAGGTATAAGAAAATGAACGTCCGTACGGAAAGACGGACGGACGGACAGGTTGATATGCGGGGGTATAAAAAGTATAGACTGTCATAATCACATGATGCGAATAAACATTTCCTAACTGCAATAAATCAATGATTATTATCACGTTTCCATTGTTATACACTATTGTTTATATTATGTAAATTTTGTTTGACTGCAGGCTCAAACATAGCTGGTATAACAACATTTCTTATATCGGGTTATTTATGTACTATACAACTAGATAATGGTTGGCCTTTTATATTCTATGTATTTGGTAAGTTGTATTATCATGCAAACTTTATAATAACTAAATACAAGCGGTGGGTGTATTCCATACCTTGGCATGGCCTTTATAAAAGAAAAGTAACTCTAACAATGTTCATAGCAGGATTATTTGTGTTAGACAACCTGGGTGTGATCATTTTCAACCAAAAACAAATAATCGTTTTAATTCTTTCAATAGTCATACAGTGAGCTTAATAATGTTCTATTATATGCGTGGGGTCTTCCTGAGCACTATGAGGCGTAATGTTTCGTCCTGGTGACCTACAGACGGTTTTGAACATTTTGAAAGGTTCTGTTGTGTATCTTAAGAATGGGGGTTTTGAGGCATTCTGGGTGTGGGTGTGTGGGGGGGGGGGGGGTATCATAGCCTATCTGTGAGTGTAAAACTTTAGAATGTGCATCACTAGCTTTTCTCGTTTTCGTTTCTTTAATGTTCCAAGTCTTCATATTGAACTATGTGCTCAGTTTTATAAAGCCTATCCAGACCAGAGCACAGAAGAAAATGGGTGCCGCTTAATTATAACTGAGCCCGGAAGTGGATGCCACGCCTTTTCCTCGCCCTTAAACTAAACTGCTATACCACTATCGGTTTCTCTTTACCACCGGGTCGATCTGAGTACAAGACTTAGGTTACTTGAGACTACTATTGTCAGTCACCAATCTTCGCCTAACTAAGTGTGTTATTTGTATTACAGGTGGGTTTTCCCTGCTTCTTGTTTTTCCATGGTTATATTTAGTTTACGATTCACCAGAACAACACCCTCGAATAAAAATGGAGGAGATCAAGTATATAAATCATGGGAAGTCTACGTCCATGAAAAGGGTAAAATGGCATGATTTACTAATTTAATAATTTAAATCTATATATACTTTCAGTTTTAATTGGTGGTAATCTGCATATTGACAAAATTCATAATTATGAAAATACTGCAATTCCGTTTCACATCCATCCATTGGTGACGTCGCAAGGTAGATGTCTTGAATGACAGTTAACAGCACGTGCTCGGACACTTATTTGAGACTGCAGCTAGGGCGGTCGCTGTAATCTGTAATTACACCTCCCATTCACGATTCTTCCAGCAATGTATATTATACATAACGCTAGATTGAGTAAACGATGTGTTTGATTACGTCTTATTTAAGTCAACGTGAAAATATTGTTCGGTCAGGTCAACAGAACAGAACTAGTCCCCCGATCAATCATTATGAGCAGCGCCATCAACACTTAAAGGGACAATAACACTCTTGCTGGGTTGACAGCTCCAGAAAATAAAAAAATAGCCTTATTTTAAGTACTAGATGTGTGAGTGTCCTACCTGTTGTGTAAGTTATCCATTAAATTCTATTTTACTTGTCCAGAGGGTTCAAAAATATTTTTAAATCCAAGTAACATTTGAAAAGCTTTACGTCAGTCTTTTCAATTGTTTAGTTGAATTTTTCCAATTTTTTAAATTAGGTGTTTTAAGATGAAATTTGTATCATCAATTAATTGGAATATTGTAAAATAGTACAATTTGTTGACCAGAATAAAGATTGGGACATATTATTCAGTTACAACAAGAGTTGTATTGAGCCTTTAACCGTTTCGATTGAGTAGGAAGCACTACATTTTCTAAAACCACACAGTGGATGGATGCCAACCGAATAGTATAATGCTTCGGTGGTGGTCATTCAGCTATGATCAAATGGATTTCTAAAATAAAGTTGCTAGAGCCAAAGTTGCGGCAAAAATAGATATTGTTTCATAGACAGAGATTATTTATATTTTAAGAACTTAATCAAATTGCTGCTATTATTAGCTAAAGTATCCCCCGCCCCCCGCTAATCAAATCAATCAATTGTTATCTCACTATAGATAATTTCTCATTTCAGTACATTCACCCACCATGGCCTAAAATACTAACGTCTCTTCCATTTTGGGCCATTGTCGTGGCTCATATAAGCTACACATGGGTAGCATCATGGGTGCCAGCCTATCTACCAAAGTATTTACATAACATTCTTAAATTTAATATTGAAGAGGTAAGTTTGAAATTATTTCTAATAACTTTCACTCATAACAATGTTATGTTCCCCATAACAATGTAATGTTTTATTATCATATTTACAGATGCATTATGAAAGATTTAGATAAAAGAGCTGGCCGGTTTTGATACAATAGCTCAACAATAGATAATGAAAAATCAGGCCTGGATTAAACATAAAGAGGGGCTTATGTCGACCTTGCAACTGAAAGCAACTGGCGTTTCGGCAACTGGGAGCAACTGAAAGCAACTGAATGCAACTCAAAAAGTCGACCTGAGCGCCTCTTACAACTCAAAGCAACTAGTTGCAGTCGACATGAGCGTTCTTGCAACTGGAGTCAACTCGTTTCCATGGAAATAGCATCACGTGATAAGAGACATGTGTCATGTGACTTTATAAATAAGCAAATGGAAGCGAACGAAAACACCCACTTTTCAAGTTTTGATGATGTCGACAATAATATACTAATAGAATCGTAGCAAGACCGACCATGCCTTTGGGTTGCTTCTTTTAAGTGATTCGCCATTTTGTTGACCACGTGATAAATAAAATAACAGTCACGTGTTCAGTGTGATCGCTATCAGTTCCGAGTCGACATAAGCGCCCCGAATTCAGTTGCTCCCAGTTGTCCTCAGTTGCTGATATGATCGACATAAGCACTCTTGCAACTGACTGCAACTAGTTGCTTTGGGTTGCTAAGTCGACGTAAGCCCCCCTTTAAGCCGAGATGAAATGGGGGTTTAACGTCCTATTCCGACTTGGCTAATGAAGACGGGCATACGCCATATAGTGTGCTATGAGGCAAATTTTGCTATTACAGCAGCACTATGGCCGGCCTACTCTTAAATCGAATTCAAACTGCCAAGGGATCTTTTATGTGCACGCCAATGTGTGCACAGGACCTCGGGTTTTTTTATCCCATCCGAACGACTAGACAATTGTCCCAGTCAGGCCCTCCGTCCTACGCCATTGACAAGGGAAGCCACACAGGAAAATCTCGATAACTTTCTCGGCAAACACCAGGATCAAACCCGCGACATCCAGGCTAGCGAGCCGGCGTCTTACTCACTTAGCCACCGTGGCTCCCAAACTTTAAGCAAACAAAACACACGCTGTTAGCTGACAAATTTAAAATGTTTGATTAAGAAATTAATTAAAAACTTTTAATTGGTTTTTCGTTGTTTTTATTATTTTCTTACTGTTACCTGCCAATCTGTTTCACAGAGTATTACGAAAGTCTTCTAATATCTCTGTAAAAGATGACTGCCTTCAACACATGACGTCATATCACGTGGCGTCAATCATTGGCTCAATGGTGCGTGCATTGTTTACATAAGACGTTACTGATTCGAGCAGAATGGCACCTTTTACTCATGTTAATACCTATTTACACTAAAATAGGAAATAATATTTACCTACAAATAATTCAAACGTATTTATTGATTTTTCTAATACATGAAAAATATGTTTTAGAATTTAATTTGTCGGAGGTAAAAAGTTAATATGTGTGGCTCATTAAGCCGCATCGATGTCATCCTTATCAATGATTGTCGCGGCCTAGCGAATATTCACTGCGGATCAGTGTGGTTACCGGCTTTGTCTCAATTAATAATGACGTAAACGTCATTTTGACATATGCAAATCTATTGTGTGCGTTATTGTGTAATTCAACTGGGCTACTGCATATTTTTATGTTACAAGTAATTTTATTTATTTAGCAGTGTTTGCCATGGGATCAGTACGTTCTCCATATCTCATTAATCTCTTTATGGAGATTTAAGAAAAAAGTAACAATAAAGAAAAAAAGTTTTCTTATTAACTATAAACACCACTGTATATTGACTAATTATATTAGATGACGCTACATCCGCATTCAACCACGATGCATCAATTACCTACGGTGCTGGCTCACTTAATAGACGGTATCGGGTTCGATCCTGCTGTATGTGAAATGAATAAAATGGAGTTTAACATCCTACTGTTAGGCAGGTCCGCTACACGAAAACATGAAAAAATCCAATATACGAGCTATATTTGGGGCTTATTTTAACATATCGTGAAAACCTCGTAAGTCGGATCAACAAAACAAAATTTTACAGGAGAAACAAAAAACTTCATATCTTTTCAGATACTTGTCGGATTTGCGTAAAATTTTCTTTATGTGAATTTGAAAATAAACCCTATTAGATGTTATGTCAAATATACGCTGACATCTGTGCGTTTTTATGATTTCGGACTTACCAGGTGTTCACCCCTAAATTCTTTTTTTTTTCTTACGCCATACGAGGCGTCTGAACGTGTTCGTATTAGAACTGTATGATTTACGAGCCTTTGTTTTCGCGTTGCTAGAGATAAACTGGGCATGTCAATAAAGGGAAATAATTATAAGTATTGTATTATACCATTTCCTAGTCGGATATCGACAGTAGGAACGGTAAGTTACGTGCGAATTTGGGCAACAGGTAGATAAATGCAACGTAGATCTAGAAGCTAATTAATACTGCCAACAGGTAGGACTAAACGCTGGGTGTCAGGGCATATTTTAAGGTCCCCGTCTTACAAAGCACGGGGAAGTTACTTCAGGAATATTACCAACATATAGGCCTAGATGTTAAATACTGAAAGTTACCTGAGAGATATTACCTACAGACAGGGCTAGAGGTCCAGAAGGGTAAGTTACTTGAGGGATATTGCCTACAGCTAGGTATATACATTGTGAGTTCAGTGGGGTTACTTACTTGAAGGGTATTGCTTACAGGTAGGTGATCTAGGCGGTGGTAAGTTACTTGAGAGATATGGTCTACAAGTAGGTATGGACAACCAGTATGGTAAGTTAATTGAAGGGTAGTGTCAATAGTTAGATCTAGATGCTCAGTGGCGTAAGTTACTTGAAGGGTATTGCCAACTGGTGCGTCTAGATGCTCAGTTGGGTAAGTTACTTAAAGAGTATTCCCAAATGGTAGGTCTAGATGCTCAGTTGGGTAAGTTACTTAAAGGTATTGCCAACTGGTAGGTCTAGATGTTCAGTAGGATAACGTACTTGAAGGGTGTTGCCCACAATAGTCTAGACGATGTGTCGGGTTAGTTACTGGACGGTTGTCGCCCACAGCTATAGGTCTATATATTCAGAATGGTAACTTACTTGAGGGTCATGGCCTCCTGGTAGGTCTTCATGTTCAGTAGGGTAACTTACCTGAGGGATATTGCCCGCAAATACGTCAAGATACTCAGTGGGGTAACTTACATTAAGGGTATTGGCGACAATATGAGAATTTTAGACTGATTACGGGAGATATTTTTGTTTGAAAACTTAAAAAAAGATGCATGTCAAAATGTTTAAAATTTCGACCGAGACTATCAGATTAACAAACTACAACATGTTCAAAATTCAGCAGCTCGACTCCTCACTAAAACTAGAAAACATCAACACATCTCCCCTGTATTGCTATCTTTACATTGGCTCCCAATTCAGCAAAGAATTAAGTTCGAGTTACTCCTCTCCGTCTTCAAAGCGTTAAACGGCCAATCTCCATCTTATATATAAAGTCTTGTAGAAACCTATACTACCAGCAGAAATCTCCGTTCTCAGAAAAAACATCTTCTAAAATCTCCAGCCATTAACTTACAACTTGGAAGACGTGCCTTTTCATATGCTGGTCCTTTTCTATAAATAGAATGCAACAATCAATAAAACAATCACCATCTGTTGGCCATTTTAAATCTCAATTCAAAACATTCTTATTTCAAAACCCTGATCTGTAAATAATCAGTGAATATAAAAACCAACAGAGCCTTAGAAACTGTTTTCTTCAGTATTAACGCGCTTTATAAATGACGATATTATTATTATTACCACGGATGACCGCCCCGAACTGGTAGACCAAGCGTACCACAAGGCGACAATACCGCCATGTTGTGCGACAGTACGCGCAGAATCCCTTCGCACAGTCATCCGAGACAGCACGTCAGACAGTGGGAACACACGGAAGACCCATCAGTACCGATACAGTGTGCCGACGTGTCACCAGAGAGAACATCCATTGCTGTAGACCTTACCGTGGACCGATCCTCACCTGTCGCCACCGACGTGAACGTCTACAGTTTGCCCAACAACAACACAACTGGCAACACAGGCAAAGGAGAAATGTTCGTTTCGCAGATGAGAATTGGTATTGCGTATCAACTGCAGATGGCAGGACAAAAATATGGCGTGGACGTGGCCAGCGTTATTCTGACCAATGTGTCATGGAACGAGACTCATGGGCAGATCCATGCATAATGGTTTGGGGTGGAATCGGCATGAAGCAGAGAGTGGGTCGAGTGGTGTTCCAAAATCTTGGTCCAGGGAGAGGAGGCGGCATCACAGCAGTGCGCTACATCGATCTAGCTCTTAAACCCCACGTCATACCACATTTCGCACGTCATCGAAACAACGTTTTCCAGCATGACAACGCCCGTGCAAACACCGCCAGAGTACTCGGGACTTTCTACAGCAGAACGGTGTCAACGTTATGCGCTGGCCAGCACTTAGTCCGGACTTAAACCCGATTGAACATCTTTGCGATAAAATTCAGAGGGACTTAATAACGTCGTATGGTTCCATGTGTCAATGGCGTTCATCAATCGTCAGGTCCACTCCATGTACAGACACTGCGCTGCTGTTATTGACACCAGATACTGATGTATAGACTGTTTACAGACTCGAAACTTTCTCGTGATGTCGTGGAATTGTGACGAATTAATCACTATGTGCCAACTTACTGTTGACAAAAAATTGCTTTGATCCATGTATTGATTTGATCCATGATTTGATTAATGTGCCTCTCTGATTTTGAAATCGTACTGACGGTTTTTTTTATTTTTTGGTTGTCATGCGAGATAGACCTAAGTTTTGCAAGAGATTATCAGAAAACAAACCACAAAAAGCGATATTTCATACAATCAGGGGTCATGATCCCGATACGCGCAAGTAACCTAGACCTTTGGGATATAAACATATTTAAGCTTCATTAAAATCGGATCAAAATTGTGACATCTAGAGGGTCAGCAACCTTGACACATGACTTTTTAAGTCATATAAAAATTATGACTTCTAGAGGGTCCACAAGTTAAAAACTTGGGCCGTAAAGTAGGATATTACAATCTTTGGGATATTAACATATATTTAAGTTTCATCAAAATCGGATCAAAATTGCGACCTCTGGAGTGTCCACAATCATGGTATTACATACTTTTACACTATTTGAATACGATGAGGCAATTTCGGTCAGATTTTCAAGGAATTCGACCTTAACCATACGGTGTCACGGTGATATATATGAATGGTTTTAAAATCAGATAAAAGTGTTGCCATTAACAGGCCAAAAAAAACACAATTTTTCGAACAATCAAGGGCCATAATCACTGAAGTTACAGTCCAATATGCGTGAATATCGACAGGAGCCAAGATCTTTGGGATAAAAAAATACATGTTAAGTTTCATCAAAATTGAATCTTTAACTTATTGAAATTTTGATACCTCATGTGGCTTTACAGCGGTAGATGTATTGTCACAAAGTTAAGAAAGCATGGTCATATTTATGCAGTTACATTTTTAGTTTACCATATAAACGCAATATGTAGAAAATACTTACCATACTCATATTGTATTCTTTATAATAATCCTATTATGTTTCCAATTATTATCACAGACAAATATAAACAGAAATACACATCCAAAACAAAGCACACGACGCACGGCCTAAAAAGATTAGCATTCGAGGGCTGTGGCCAGTACCCTAGTTTTATTTTAATCATACATGTCTGGTTAATCAAGACTACGAAAAATACATATCGTTCAGTTAATTTACAGGTCTTAAATTTTATCTGCGTATATAGAGCTAGCAACAACCCAGCTTCTAAAATCACTATGGCGATAACTAACCATAGGGTTTTACGGTTCAATAAAAATAAATTTCACAGCCTTTGAGTTTCGGTAAGTTACAACGATCTCGTGAGTTTAAAAGATAGAAATGGCAGAAACTACACGAGGTGACATGGAACCGAGAACCGTTACAGTATATACTGTAGCACCATGGGTCTTTCGTAAGACGTTGAGAGCGGGTGTTGAGCAAACCGGTCGCCACATCCTACGTACGACCCATGCATCTTTTCTTACTACATATCTTAGTAGCCTTGTGATCGTCTAGAATTTGTCTCTAGCTGCCTTTGCTTCTGCTTCACGTTGTGTATTTACTTCTTACTGTTTTCTTAAGACGTTTGTCTTCTCAGTAGTTATAACAATGCAACAGTTCGTTTTTACATGTTATATATCATATAGATGCTTACATATGTACAATGCATAATAGAATAAAGTCATTCTCTCAAACCTCATCCAGCTGATAGAAATTGCACTCAGATGGTTATCTCTCCGGAATCTAATGAAACTCTGTCTTAAAAGTTTACCATGATTTCTTTTATAGGACTCATGGATATCACGCACAGAGTAAGCTACTCCTGAACCTGTGCAATTACTGATTATGAGTGGTTACTTTAGCCAAATGATGTAATTAGTAAATTTCCCAGCACGTGTAATCTCGTGGTATTTTATTGACACATGCAACCAGCTATGTTTTGGCTCTATATTTCTTTTTATGTGTCCATCTGTCACTCACTCGCTAACCTGATTTATGTATACATATATGTGAATCTAATAACTTGCCAAAGATATTAATTAATGAAATATACTGCCACCATTAATTTCAAGAGCAAAAATTCTAGCAATATTATTACAATACGTCATTGGTTACAATCAACTAAAATTAGAAATAAAATCGCCGAGTTTTAGCCAAAGTATTAATCAAGACCGTAACTACGTATTTTTAAAAGTCAGACGCGTAAAGAAGAAGATCATGGCTTCTTAAACCTAACCCTGGGCCTATCCCTAACGCTTACCCTAACCCGAACATACAATCTCGCCAACAATCACGTGCCCTAACTTTATTTACATCTCAGCGACCTTGACGAAAATTGAGTTGACCTTAACAAGTAGATCTAGCGCGACGGAATAGGTTTTATTAGACAATAAATGTGGATCATTCTGACGATAAGGTCATTTTTTTTTTAATTACTAGAATACTTGAGGCTGTGAACCACTCTACTACTGTTCTGCTCCGACTGGGCTAATAAAGACCGGCATACGCCATGCAGTGTGCTATACGGAAAATTTTGCCCGGGCAACGGCGCTCAGGCCTACGGTTATATCGAATTCCAACTGCCAAGTACCAAGGGTTCTTCTACACGCATGCCAATGTGTACACGTCGGGGTTCACATAAAGTTGGAATTTGTAGGCGGCAAAATTTTTATCACAGTACATTACATAGCGTATGCCCGTTTTCATATGCCCAGTTGGTGTAAAACAGTTGAATGTTAAACGAATTCTCCGGATACTGTTCTGAAGTATTATATTTTGTATTGTTTACAGGATGGAATCGTCTCATCCATACCATATGTTGGGCGTCTAGTATCGGGCCCTGTGTGTGGCTACATATCGGATTGGTTACAAAAGAAACGGTATTTTACAACTGGAACTGTCCGGAAAATCTTTCAGTCAATCGGTTTGTACAACAGCTTACTGTCCCACTGCCTATACATTGGCCATTTGCTTTTACCCCACGATTATACACCACTAAAGCAGAGAAAACCGTGCCCTGAAAAAAAATGCACTCTCCACACAAGTCTCGCTATCCAGTTTGGACTGCAAGGGAAGACAACTCTATTTGGGAGATTGAAAAAAATGGTGTAGTGCTCTGAAAAAGTGTAAGGTAGCGATGTCTTCTGACCCCTAATGAATGTTTCTGCTTGTGGTAGTCCTTGGCCGCCATTTCACTTTAACTTTGAAAAGGGGGGGGGGCATAATTTTCACGAATTTTTGGTATTATCTGCGATTTTAAGTATTGAAATATGGATGTGAAACCGAAGCTTGATCTACCGCCGCCTAAAAAGCAATTTCGGCAAGTGACATGGTGTTTTTCCTGAAAAAAAACACCCCTCCAGAGTCGAGCAAGGGTAACGGACCAAAGTGAAAATGAAGAAGACACAGAATCCGTACTACTAGAATTTAACCTTATTTAGACCCAGCACTAAAGAACCGTGCGAACAACTGAACACAAATGTATATATGTACGTCCGAAATCGACCTGGGTGTGTTGAAGGGGAAGAAACATTTGTTTACCGTAATAAAAATCGCATCTCACTGATGTATTACTGACACTTGTACTTGTATATTTATGACCGTGTGTCCAAATTTAAATATTGTGCATACTTTGCAACACTTTAATGGCCCCCATGCTCACGATATTCTCAAAACCGGTTGCATTATTTCTATTGCGCCTTTCTTGAAAGTCATTGTTTTTCATTTTGAGTGAATTACCCTGTATCTTTACAAGCCCCATCTCAATCGCCTTAACTCCGTACATCTTATCAAGTCCTGTATATTTCAGCACTAATTTCGATCGACTACTGATCTGGGGATCCTATCAGATCCCACGATCATCGCGAATACCAAGTATCGCGCTTTCAAGCTAAAATGTCTACCTGTGACAATCGAGTTGCGGGTTCGTTCAGTTTCAAGGTTTCCGTGGAGGTCGCCATGTTTGGTTTGAGTGTGTTTGTGTCACAGTCCATGATTGGACGCTATCGTTCATGCGTCTGCGTTAAAGGGAGATGCGTAGCTATAAGTTCTGGAATTGCAGACCAGTCTACCAACCACTGGATGTTGTAAAATTCGCGGTCGTTCCTTCAGGAACATGTACAGGCCCGGGACTATAGCGGTACATTAGATTCAAAATTCTAACATGCTATCATCTGGTTTCTATCTTCTATTCTTGTAATTTCTAAATTAAGACAATGTATAATCCAACTTCTTTATTTGTTCAGTGTAAATTTTAATTCTATTTCATCTTATTTCTATTATTTAAACGAAAAACGTCTACTTCATTGTCGCTTTACATGTTAAGCATGAACGTCGAACAAATTTAGAATTTTGATACTTCTACCTAGCAACCACCATTATGACGTGATCGGAACCATAATTTGGATACAAACGACTCGCTTTTCGTCAGGTTGAATGATTTGTCGGAGTGTTAAAATTGAAAACAACATCGACCGTGATATGGTTTGCAAATACTATTTCAAATATAAGCTAACCAGCATTTTATTTTTTAGAATTTAAGACAAGTGCCGGCTTTGGAGAATTTTATTTGATTTTTTTTTTTACAGTTGAGTCAATTAATATTTAGGCCTATATACTGTTTGTCTATATTCTATTACACACTGATCCGCAGTGAATATTTGCTAGGCCGCTACAATCACTGATAAGGATGACATCGATGCGGCTTAATGAGCCAGAAATATTAACTTTTTTCCTGCGACAAATTAAATTTTAAAACATTTTTTTATGTATTGGAAAAATAAATAAAGGCGTTTGACGTATTTGTAGGTAAAAATTATTTCCTATTTAGTGTAAATGGGTATTAAAATGACTAAAATGCAGCATTCTCTCCGAAGCAGTAACGTCTTATGTAAACAATGCACGCGCCATTCAGCCAATGATTGACGCCGCGTGATGTGACGGCACGTGTAAAGACAGTCATCTTTGACAGAGATATATTACTAGACTCGTAATTCTCTGTGAAACAGATTGATTCTATTAGTGCTCTAAGAAAATGTCTCTTTATACCATCCGAACGACTTAGCTAGACACTTTAGCTAGACACTGTCCGTGCAAAACCCCCGTCCTGTATCAATGAACCACGCTGAAAGAAATTGATTTTATCATAGCTAGTATACACATAACACTGGCAAAACTAAGCTTTATGATATTTCTGACATTATTAGTTCCGTCCTTATGATATGCGGAGACTGTCGTTATTGGGGCAGGGCAGTGTCTAGTTGTTCGGATCAGACGAAAACCCTTGACAGCTGTAATTCGTAATAAAAGTAGATCGTGGCGCCGCTGTCGGGACTAAATTCCCCCCATAGCACACTGTAGCCCAATTGGTGTACAAAAGTAGGACGATAAAACCCATTTCATTTTGGTTTAATTTCGTCAAGAACGCCGCTATCTATGAAATTCCGTATCGCTTTATGCAACTTGAATAAGACCCCTACGCGCAAGCGAATTATTGAAATAAAATTGAACCAACTGTTAGTCCCGAAATGACCTAGTTTGTGTCGAGTGGACGTTAAATGTGTTCTAATTTCGTGCTTAACATGTAAAGCGACAATGAAGTAGACGTTTTTCGTTTAAATAATAGAAATAAGATGAAATAGAATTAAAATTTACACTGAACAAATAAAGAAGTGGGATTATACATTGTCTTAATTCAAAAATTACATGAATAGAATTTCGAAATTACATGAACAGAAGTTAGAAATTACATGGATAGAAGAAGTTAGAAATTACCTGAATAGAAGTTAGAAATTACATGAATAGAAGTTAGAAATTAGACGATAGCACGTTACACTATAAACCCCAGAATGCCTCGTTCGGCACTTGTGTCCAAGCGTGGCAAAAACGTGTTAAAATTTTTGCCGCTTTGTAACGTGATAAAAACAAAATGCCACGTTTGTCTGGAGTTCCAAAACGTATTTTTTTTTTTAAATTGCCATGTTTTTGGAACGAGGTATTTTGTCCAGAACGAGGCTGTTCACAAGGTTGGATACAGGATTTTTCAAAAGGGTTGGGGGTGGGGCTCAGCCAAACCAAAGTCTCGTTGAGCGTATCGAGGACAGCATAATATTATTTGGTGACACTTTCAAGCGATTGTGTAGAGACAAAAACACAAGGCAAAGTCGACTTGACATTCGTTGCATAAAAAGAGTTTGTTACATTCTTTGTTGTAGTTTTATATGTTCACACAATGAAAAACAGCCAAGTTCAAAGCGGGGCGAACTAAAAAAATTGTATTGTAGGCCTTTGAACATTATTAATAACAAATAATTATGCTGTTCCTGTTTTTATAGAATAAACGATATTATATTTAATATATCTCGTGAAATTTTATGTAATTGGCTACAGTTGTATGTATAAAAATTGCAAGAGCAGTATCTAAACGGCCAATTGAATTCCATCGAAACATGACATATAATGACATGCAAAGTGAACAACTTTATTTAGAATAATAATTACATTTTCATCCTTCAGGTGACCAGCCTACGACTGGAACCTTATTTGAAGGGTCGATCTGAACTATATTTTGGAGAATAAAACTGCTTAATTTTGTATTAAAAGCCCTTAAAATCTTCTACATTTTGGCCGAGCAACTAACTCAATATACGTGATACGTTTTGATCTTACACCCGTCGTTTATTATATAAAAACAGGAACAGCATATTTGTAATTAATAATGTTCAAAGGTCTAAAATACAATTATTGAGTTCGCTCCGATTTGAACTTGGCTGTTTTTCATTTCTCACATCTCTTTGTTGGAAATATTGTGTGAACATATGAAATTGCAACAAAGAATGTAACAAACTCTTTTTATGCAGGGGGGTTAAATGGCTGAATGGTTAGCGTGCGCACGCTGTATCATAAAGCCTGTCATTGAGTCAATTGGCGTGGTTTCGAATCCCCGGTTGTACGTGGCAAGGAGTAGGGTCGCCTGTCCAACTTCGTGAGTTTTCTCCGGGTCCTCCGGTTTCCTCCCACTTCTAAAGACCCCTACGTGCAAGCGAATTCTTGAAATAAAATTAAATCATATGATAGTCCCGAAATGACCTAGTTTGTGTCGAGTGGACGTTAAACCCCATTTCTCTCTCTCTCCCTTTTTATGCAACGAATGTCATTTCTAGTCAAGATTTTTGCCTTGTGTTTTTTTTTTCTCTACATAATCGCTTGAAAGTGTCACCAAATATTAGCATGATGTCCTCGATACGCTCCATGAGACTTTGGTTTGGCTGATCTAACCCTTTTGAAACAAATAATGTATCCAACCTTGTGAACGTTCTGGACAAATTACCTCGTCCCAAACTGCAGACAAACGTCGAATTTTGTTTTTGCCACGTTTGGATAAAAATGCCGAACGAGCCATTCTGAGGTTTATAGTGTTAGATTTTTGAATCAAATATACCGCCATACGGGACTGTACAACGAAGTGGACGCTTACGACTGGCCCCCAAATTCGTCCACTTGATTTGCTCTTTGTTGTTATTGCCTGCAATGTCTATGTAGTTTGTGTCTTGTCCGTTTTTGTTTGCATGTAGTGCGATCCTCTTGCATTTACTATTATATGCTCCTTGTTTATACTATAATTTAATTACCAGGTTGTGTGGGATGTGCTGGCTGTATGATTGGTATCAGTTTTTTAGATCACAACAACCGAATCCTGGCCGTGTGTTTATTGATAATGGGGTTAACCTTCCAGAATTTTTCCTCCGTCGCTTTCCGTATAAACCATCTAGATATAGCTCCTAGGTAAGTAAAAACAAGGTTGAGCTGAACAATAGAGGACTAGTATTATTCTGAGGTTTGGAAGAATCTTTAAATCCTATAGTAAATGTTACCTTTCATCTGGCAAGGTTCTGGTACCGTGATACAGTCTTGGCTATTTGTGTTGGGAGGACCTACCAGTATAGAGCAGGAGCCCAGGGGGTTAACCTAGCTGAAAAGTGTACCAATTTTCTCCTATATAGTATCAATGTATGTATATCTGGTATCATCAGAATGTAAGTCTGCCGGGTTTCTGGTGGTGGGTGTGGTATTCCACGCCCAAAATACCATGCCCCCCAACTAGTCTAGATTAGCTCAAAAGTGTACCACATGAAAATTGCACAGCAATGTACTGTACATCTTCAGGTATTACAGAAACACTCTGACAGACATTTCTAGTGGTGGGGTACCCCTGACAGAGCTATGTAATTGCCAGACATTTGTAGTGATGGAGTATCCCTGACAAGTGTTATCTAATTTCCAGACCAAAGCTAGGCTAGATTAGCTCAAATCTGTACCACCTAAAACAGCTTTGGAGTTGTTTAGTACCACCACAGGATTCATGAATGACCACTGCCAGACAGTTTGTGCGGTGGGTTGCCCCTAACAGACACGTCCAAAATAACACAAACCCCAACTAGGATAGATTAGTCGGCACTGTTCCTGTAGGCCAAAAAATTAAAAATTGTGCCAGGATGCGTAGAATACTAATACCTAGCACATATGGAAGAGGCGATAAACTGCTGTTGTAAGAACAATTTTATTTCTCAAAAACGCATTTTTAGCCCCATCTTGCAATCGCAGTTTATCGCCTCTTCCATACGTGCTAGGTATTAGTATACTACACATCCTGGCTAAAAATCTAATTTTTTAGAACACGGGAACAGTGCCTGCGAAGCTAGCCTAGTTGGGGGCGTGGCATTTTGGAGAGTGTCTGTTATGGGTAACCCACCGCACAAACTGTCTGGCAGTGGTCATTCATGACTTCTGTGGTGGTACTGAACAACTCCAAAGCTGTTTTAGGTGGTACAGATTTCACATAATCTAACCTAGCTTTGTTCTAAATATTGTCAGGGATACTCCACCACTACAAATGTCTGGCAATAACATAGCTCTGTCAGGGGTACCCCACCACTAGAAACGTCTGTCAGAGTGTTTTTGTAATACCCGAAGATGTACGGTACACTGCAGTAAGATTTTCGTGTGGTACACTTTTGGGCTAATCTAGCCTAGTTGGGGATCATGGCATTTAGGGCGTGGAATACCACACCCACCACCAGAAACCCGGCAGACTTACATTCTGATGATACCAGATATACATACATTGATACCATATAGGAGAAAATTGGTACACTTTTCAGCTAGGTTGACCCCCTGGGCTCCCGGTCTAGTAGCCTAACCAGATATCAGGGTTCAGAAGATATCTGGAATATACAATTGGGAATCGCTGAGTGATAACCAAAGGGTTTCTGTGCGCGTTACGCTGTGGATCATAGATTTTGCATCTAACACTGGGTCATGTTTCGATGACTGTGTGAACTGCCATCAAATAAGCAACACTTAGTATCCTCAGGCGCGGATCCAGGGGTGGGGGGGCCAGGGGGCCGTTCCCCCACCCCCTCAGCCCCAGTGAGACTGGTCATCACTGTTCAGACCAGCACCTGCAGCCAGCAATTGGATTCCCAGATTTTAGTTTCTGATTAATGAGGCCGCGACAAAGACTCTGGGGACTACACCAAACCACTAATGCATGCGGCACTCTGATGATTACCCTTTGCTCCAATGTATGCCCCCCCCCCCCTCGACAAAATCCTGGATCCGGGCCTGATCCTACTATTCTGCACCGATTGGATAATGAAGACGGGCATACGCCTTGCAGTGTGCTATGAGGTAAATTTTGGTCGGTCTACTGTTATATCGAATTCTAGGGGTTCTTTTACATGGACGCTAATGTGGACACGGGAACTGGTTTTTCGTCTCATCCGAACGACTAGACAGTTGTCCCAGTCAAGTCCTCCGTCCTACACCACTGACAAGGGAAACCACGCCGATGAACTTTCTCGGCAAACACTATGGACCGAACCCGCGACATCCAGGCTAGCGAGTTAGCGTCTTACTCACTTAGCCAGGTACTTGTCAGCCCCCCCCCCTCCGTCCTGCACCACTGACCAGGGCAAGCCACACCGGAAAATCCCGAGGACCTTTCTCGGCCAACATGAGAGCTCCAGGCTATCGAGCCAGTGCCCTACTCATTGAGCCACCGAGGTTCCCGTTCTAGAAAAAGCAAACATATCCCGAGTGGTGCGCAGCATGCGGCACTGTCTATAGGTATTTGAAGTGATAGGTTGGATCATGATTTTAGAAACTAATGTTGGGTCATATGGCAAGTTGTTCTCTACTATTTTATATAATTAGGTATGCTGGTGTATTGATGGGTGTAACGACAACGGTAGCAATGTCTGCAGGTCTCTCGGCTCCTTTTATAACATCAGCTTTAATAGAAGAGGTAAGCGTACATGAGTTGGTTGATAGCAAGAGTCAAAAGTCAAATAACCTGCCACCAGCACGACACCCATTGCTTGGAATACTATTCCACAGTGTAGGCCACACATTGGTTCAGCAATGCCGATTAGAATGAATAAGGTAACAGGTTCGCGTTATCTTAAATTTCCGGTTGCTTATAACGAATATTATTTTTCATTCCAGGGCACTGCTGAAGAATGGAAGGGGGTATTTTGGATTGTAGCCGCACTGAACGTTGTTGGGGCAATAATCTTCGCAATATTTGCACAAGGGGAAATCCAGCCGTGGGCCATAGAGGTTAATGATAACGTCATCGAACCACTAATCGACGAATCGGGTGAAAAGGAACTAGATGATAATTCGGACTAACCAAATTATACTGACGTAGTTTCGGGTAATGGTGTCGTGAATCGGACATATAATTTAAAAGATGGAGACAATTTGTCGGTAGGCAGGCGAAGTGACGTATCGTCAGTTGTTTTCGATTTAAAGGGTTCTAGGTTTTTCTGATGTTGCAGAATTCAAATTTGACAAATGTCTGCTTTCATGAAAAATTTGACATCACCTCTGCGCAGTATCTTTATTTAACCGATAATAATGGCTATAAAGTTAGTAAGTTATGATCATCTATTTCAATTATGTGACCCATATGAATAACTTCTTTTCGAGAGCGCATGAAATATTGACTGTAAATTTATAGTATTTTATTTGATATCTCTGCTAAAAACAAGCATTATGATGAGCAACACAAAAATCATGATATTGTTGATAATAGGTCACCAATGGTTGACTGAAGCAGTACAGGCGAAATACTCAAACATGTGTGTGTAAGGTGATATCGCCGACTATTACATATTTATCACCCAATAATACATTCTACAGTAGATATCGCTTGTGTGTTATATTTCATAATCTAGGAGATATCGCTTTACATGAATTTGATTGGTCAGTTGAAAAGGAACTACTGTTTTTTATTTTCAAAGAACAGTTCATTTCTTATTAAAGATACATTATGGGAGATAAGATAAAGAGATGGCAGTTCTCGCTATAATAGTTAAAAACTAGATAGTGTAAAGGTAATTTGCTGGAAATTTCAGTCAAATTGATCCACTATGAGCCGAGATAGAAGCGGGTGAAATTTTTGCATAGTTTCGGTCATCATTACTAAAATCATAAATATAAACAGCATAGTCTCGATTATCCACTTTTTCTGATTTAATTATCAATGGCAATTAGCGGCATATAGGAATCTAATCCAGCCAACATCGAAGGCTAGCCTTGACATCGAGAGTTTATTATGGTCTGGATTAGTTAATTAATGTCTAATTGATAATTTAGATAACATTTCAGGCCTAAAGAAAGACTTGTAATAAGCAGATTTTGCTCTTGCATAATGCATGTTTAAAGTAACTTTTTTTTTTATTAAAAATGAACTATTATTATTCAATTGACCTTGATGGAAACACTGGGTCAATATAAAACACTTTTCAATGGTTGAATTGCTGTCAAAAAATGATGTATCACTACGCCGTAATGTTCAGTAAAAGTGAAATCTACAGTAAAGAATTATATTTATTTGTGCATGTAAGAAAGGATTGGGTGATAAATAAAATCTCCTACTCGTCTTTTTTGATATAAAAAAATATCAACACTCGTTGATAAAGTTAAAAAAATTCGGCAGAGCCTCGTTTTTTGTTACTTTATCCACTTAATGGATCGTGGATATAATGCTTCCTTTCGTCGGTAGCTTGGTTGTTGGATGTTATATTTTCAGCGACGGGAACACTATGTCCGGATCCAAACGTGATTCTTCTGAGCGAAATCGTTTTTGACTGTCCATATTCGGCGCTTTTTACAACTTTTTCATCATTTCGTACGATTTAAAAGTTCTCACTACTTTGCATCTTAAAGATATAAATATTTTGAACATGATTATTACAAAGCAGGTTATACATCATCTAGAAATGGTTACTGCTCCAGCCACAGTAGGGGATCGTTCCTTTGAACACGTTTTGTCATGATTTAATGACAAAAATGTTGCTGGCCTATAGCTCCCTTAATTTCCAATTAAACCGACCCCAAACTGTACTGCATATAGCTTAACATAATAATAAAACAATTCCCATTAACATAAAGGTGAAACCTTACCGCATAATTATATGATTTGATTTTATCCAACTTCTACACGACATTTCTGTCCATTTTTAAAATTACCGCTGAAGCAGAATTAGAACATGCACTGATTTCACATCACCTCGAAAATACATAAAAAAAACTCTTCAATATTTGTAACATAATTACTTATTTCCATGAAAACTGTGAAAATTTTACAATTGAAGCTATTTTTACTTGCGCAGAAGACTTGTAGTGTGTATCAATTGTAGCGGTGGTCGACTTTTTGAAATTTGATATAAATCAGTTATTTGCCGGATTTTGTACAAAATTAGTACCTAATATTAGGCCTGCAGCCGAAATTTCTAATGGACAAGGGAACATACAGAATTTTGGAAATCCATTAACGGTAATAGAGAGTTATCTCCCTTTCTGTCAAATGTCTGCAATTGATAACAGTGTTTCAGGTGTGTGTTGACTGCTGATGCTGTATGACGCACAAGACCATGTGTGAGCACACAAGTAGAATATTTATATCGTTAATGGGGTCCCAGGGGACTGCAAGGGTTGGTGAGCGGGTGTTTACCCAGAAATTATGGGCGGAGTGCCTAGTCTTATGAGCAAGGAGATATGTTGACATTGGTTGAGTAATGTCTGAAGTAATGGAGACCGGACTTTTGTAAATCGCATTGAAACCACGTGATTTTTTCCACTAAAACATAAACCCACACCTACATACCCTTTTAATTAGACCCCACATTATTTTTACTACAGGTAGCTGTAAACCTCTATAATTGTATAATTTGCTAACAAACATAGATATAAGAAAAAAGCTAATTATTTATTGAAGTAAAACAATTATTGAAAATCAAAATTACACAGTTACTCTGCACTTTAAATGTCATCCAAGTTGGTCGTTGTCACCATCAGTATTTTCCCGAGAAATTTCTTTGTCACCCAAATTTTCTGAATGAATCAATCATTAACTAAAATGAATTTTCCACAAAGCTGTGATGGTTGTTTATTTTTAATTCATTACACAATTATACATTTATATTTCCATGAGATATGGTCGCATTCTCCATTCGCTGATGCTTGTGCCCGAAAAACTGTAATACATTGCCCGAAAAATGGACGGTTCAGTTTTATATTCCATCCAAATAACTAGACGCTGTCCATCACAGCCCCCCCCCCCCCACTTCCAGCACCACTGACAAGGTGAAACAACGCTGGAAAGTTTGGGAAACTGTCTAGGTCAACACAGGGGTCAAACACCATACCTACTGATTAGTGAGTCACGGACAAGGGGGATCCACGCCAGACTAGGATCAAACCCTGGACCGCCCGATAAGTGAGCCAGTCATTTACTAAATCACCCCAGCTCCCTTGCACACTGATGATGACATTTACATACTAGCTGTACACGTACAATGCCCCCCCTCCCCTCACCTCCCCAACTATCATGTATGACGTATGCTCATCTTCATTATACGGGTTGGTGCAGAACTGTAAGACATTAAACCCCATTACAATATTGTCACTCCCTTTACATTATTATTTAGTTTTGGCCATATCTATTTTGGTGAAAAACTAAATATCTGTAGATGCTATGTTTCAGGTTAAATATTTGTTAGACCATTAACCTCAAATCCTATCTGAAAAAAGTTGAACTTATATAGGCCCTAGTCTGTAGTTAAATCCTATTCAGTTTATCAAATAAATTCTTTAAACAAAATACTGTTATCAATGATTATTGATATTTTCCATAAAGGGAAATAACTCCTTTTATCATTAAATGGATTTCCGAAATTCTGTATGTTCCCCTGTCCTTTGTGGTTTCTGCATTTTGCTTTAAATCAAAATTTAACCAATGGCATATTCTTTGCATAGGATGAAGGCATCGGGTGTTTTCAGCAATATTTAATTTTATGTCAACTTCACAATTGTTAGTATAAATATAGCATTTACTTGTAAATTATCACAATTTTCATCTGGCCCTAAATCGATTTAGTGCAGACTTTTTGCTTGGAACTCTCAGGATTTGTGTTCCTGGTGTTATAAGCTTTCCAAAAATGTATAGTTTGTTTATTTGGGAGGACCATGTAGCGGAACTTTACGCTAGAAATTTTGGCTGCAGGCCTATATCTTGTGTTGTCCAGTAAACAGTCCTGCAAGTGGGCGTACAAAAATGATTTATAGTCTTGAGAAATTTAAAGACAGCCTATCAAAAATTGCCGAGTATAATGAGTAATGATGATGGTGTTAATGAGAAGTGTCATTAATGAAACGTGTTTAAAAGTTTGTAACGTGAAAAAGGAATTTCATCTTATTCCTGTTGGGTTTTTTTTCAGATTATTTTTCGTACGATAATTGCCTATACCTGTTTTGTATCTCGTTGTGTTTGGTGCCTTGATAGAAGCTGTTTAAGGCGAGCTATTCCCTTTAAAAAAATAGGTTCTATTTGTTTAAAAGTTTTGAAGGAAAAATATTGAAAATGGTGAATTTGTCTTCAGTTTGGCAATACTCCCAGGGCGGGCCTTATTTTTGGAATATGTATATATATATATATACAAAGTTGTTTTTTTTAAAATTACCCCCCCCCCTCCACCACCACCATCATAAAGGACAAAAAATTTGCAAGGGCTTTATCGCGATTGGGTTTTGTACTAATAATAATGCAAAATTTGCTATACATTCTAATCTATAGACATAATCAAAACATCCCTATCTAATAATAATTTTAAAAATATCAAAACTGACTAAAAGGATAAAGACCGACATCTTGACCTAATTTTTAAAACCTGAAATAATAGCCTACTAGTACTCATTTTATTAATAGTCAAAAGTCGCTACATCCTTTACATTTATATTTGAATAGGCCCATCATAATTACAAATCAAATAGAAATAGAAAATGTCTTAGTTATCGTACTCAATTCATACAACACAAACATATTGGGGTACTTTACCTTTACGAAAGACTAGAAATATGTCTGATCACAAGTTTATGCAGTGTTAAAAGGGAATCTATAACTGAAACAGGAACTAAAAGAAATGAAATGAAGTGAAATGGGGTAAACTGGGCTAATGAAGACGGGAAAATGCCATACAGTGTGCTGAGGGAAATTGTGCTCGGGCAGACGCACTATGGCCTACTCTCTTATATCGAATTCCAATAATTGTACGCCAATGTATATACGGGACCTCGGTTTTTCGTCCCAACCGAACGACTAGATAGCAGTCCTTCACAGGCCCTCTGTTCTGCACCACTGACAAGGGGAAACCACGTTGGAAAATCCCGATGAACTTCCTCGGCCAATGCAGAGATCGAACACGCGATGACTAGCGAGCTAGCGTCTTACCCACTTGGAGTTTAGAAACACTCCATCCAAAACCAGCATCAATTGAAATGTCTTTTCCATCTCGCCATCACAATTCAACTTGGCTGTTGTATGTGTCTACAAAATTATTCTGTTACACATGCTGAACAATCTCCGTATGACGTCTGCGACCCCTATTTGAATACCAGTTTCTAATATACACTATAGTGCACGTGCACTCTGAATAGTAGGAAAGTGTTACTGTGGCCGAATAGAGGCAAATTAAGGTGGTTATCACAAAACACAACCTGAGTATATCTCGAACATATTTCAAATTGTTTTCATTATTCATTTCCATACTGTTGGGTCTTTACCTCAAAAAAAATTTCAAAATGTTTTTAAGTATTGGCGTCAAGCCATTAAGCATAAATAAAATAGGTCCCAGGTGTCTTATAATGTAATTTTATAAAGGATATCTTATTGTTGGGGGGGGGGGGGAACTGATCAGTTATAAATGAAATGGGGTTTAACGTCCTACTGTTCTGCTCCGAACTGGTGTAGCACCCTAGGTCTTCTGTCTGACGTGGAGAGCGCATTAAGGGGACCGGTCGCCACATCCTACGTACGACCCATGCATCTTTTCTTACTACATATTTCTGTAGCCCTGTGATCGTCTAAATTTGTCTCTAGCTGTCTTTACTTCTGCTTCACGTTGTGTATTTACTTCTTCCAGTTTCTTAAGACGTTTGTCTTACCAGGAATAATAATGCATAGTTCGCTTCTACATTTTATATAGCATATAACTGAATACAGGTATACAAGCATAGCACAAATTACAATACTATATAGCTAAAACCACTTCTCCACCCTATCCAGCCTCTCGGCTGTCTAGGAACTCAGATGTACCCTCGATCTCTGGAATCTAATGCAAGTCTGCCTTAAAACTTTACTATGATTTATTTTATAAGACTCCTGCAGATCACGCACAGAAAGCCTGTTCATGGCCCTGAACCTGTGCAATTAACGATATGATTGGTTACTTTAAACCAAATGATGCAATTAGAATAATTCCACTCACGTGTAATTCTGGTGGTAAATGAGTGACATATGTTTTCGATAAATAGCTCTTTTTTTATGTGTCCCTCGAGCAAAAATTCTACTAAAAGTATTACACTGTGCTTATGAAGACGGGCATACGCCAAACAGTCTGCTATGAGGGAAATTTTGCCCGGACAGCGGCACTACGCCCTACTCCTATATCGAATTCCAACTGTCCAGGGATTATTTACATGCACGCCAATGTGTACACGGGGACCTCGGTTTTCCGTCCCATTCGAACGACTAGACAGCTGCCCTTCTGATCAGTTAACATTCCTTAGAACTTTGTTTAGTATGAAAATGGATTTAGGCATTTAAAAATGAATTCACTTTGAACGTTGATATTGACTACTCCATCAAATAGAAATTATTGTTTGCAATGGCAGAAATTCCAATTCGATAGAGGCAATTAGACAAATTCTACATGAAATCGACTTGTAAACTTTTACACCAATTGTCTTAGCTTCCCCGGTGTTATTTTCAGGTTTTTTTAAAGCCGTTTGGGAAATTGATCTATGCAGTGGTTACGAAGTGAAGTAAATCGTATGGTCACTCACTGTGTGGACATGTGCTGAACCGGATTTAAATTCTGGCCGATTTCAAGTTCAATCAAGAAAACCAACTGAATCCACACTATTTCAATTAGTTAAATCGATACAACAAAATGCAAGTATACCTGTCCGTCATTCGGTTGATCGATCGTGCGTCAGTACTCCCATAACTTTACAAGCCCGACTATGATCAACCGCGAGCTTTGCGATTGGCTCCGAGTGATCGATTCCAGGGAACTGTTAATTCTCTCTTCATCGACGTCAGATAGATAATGTTAAAGGGGGGTAACAACTCGACTGTGCACGAGATGAAACGGGCCTTGCAAAAATGTAAATTCGGCTGGTGGGGGGGGGGGCTCGGTAACGGATGTTAAATCCATTTAAATCTTTGTTAATTGTCTAAATAATAACGTTTGAAGCCAAAAGAAAGGCCTACAATGGGCAGATTTAGCTCTTACATAATGCATCTTTCATAGAAGACAACACAGTATGCGATTTTTTGTCTGAAAAAAAGTGGTCGCTGATGTTTCGGTAAGAATGTATCAATCGGAAATTATTTGCCGGCGATTCTATTGGTCTTTATACTGACGAAAAAGTGCCATGCTAAACAGTTACCTTCATTGGTGGACATTAATTGCGCCGACAATAAAATATCTGGTCTGAGTAGACTATTCCATCATAGACTATTGAATGTCTGAACCCTGGACAAATACTTTGAAACAGTCCATCCGATTTCCAATTAACTGATAAACAACCTGTTCTAGACAAAGTACACAAACCATGTCCCCGTGTACAGTACTACTTAGATTTCATAAGCTGAACTAAAGATAATTGCGGTAAGCTTCTCAAGGGCGAGGGCACCGTCAAAACATAAAACTAAAGCTCAATTGATATTATTAATGACATTTTAATAGTGTTTGAATCAGAAACCACTAGCCTTGCATACTGAACTGGTAATGATGTTACAATAAGCTTCAACAATGATTTGTTTCAAATAAAAAGATAAGTTGCCAAGCAACGAAACATACGCCCAGCAATTAAGTCGTCTGGACAGTCAAGAAGGGTTGTCGCGCAACTGTGTATACAATTAAAGTCAATTGAATGATAACTGTCCTGCAAAGCATCCACAATTTTTTTTTAAATTGACCAAGAGCCATTACTCTGGCAGTAATTACCAGAAATCCTTGAAAATCAAAAGGAGTCTTCGTCTTACAACCTTAAATACACACGGTGTATAAATTTTAAATCAATCGGATGATTGGTCTCCAGGGCATCCACAGGATTTTTCAAAGTGATCAAGGTCTATAATTCTGGAAGTGTAACTATCGGAAATCGTTGAAAATCAATAGGATTCTTCGGCTTATGACCTTAATTGCTGTGTATAAATCTAAAGACAATCGGATATTAACTTCATCCAATGTATTATGGACGAGTGGACGACAATATACTACCAATTATCAAAGTGGGCGTATAAAAATGAAAGCCTTAAATATGAATGACAAATGCTATTGGTTTAGTATTCTTCACCTTCGTCTTCCCCTTCACCTTCAACAGAATCGACACCAACTTCTTCATAATCCTTCTCCAGAGCAGCCAAATCTTCTCTGGCCTCTGAGAACTCACCCTCTTCCATACCTTCACCAACATACCAGTGAACGAAAGCTCTCTTGGCATACATAAGATCAAATTTATGATCTAGGCGAGCCCAGGCCTCGGCAATAGCAGTGGTGTTACTCAACATACAAACGGCTCTCTGCACCTTGGCTAAATCCCCTCCTGGTACAACAGTTGGTGGTTGGTAGTTGATACCGACTTTGAAACCAGTTGGACACCAGTCGACAAACTGAATAGTTCTCTTGGTCTTGATTGTGGCAATGGCAGCATTGACATCCTTTGGGACAACATCGCCTCGGTACAACATACAGCAGGCCATGTATTTTCCATGACGAGGATCACATTTTACCATCTGGTTGGCTGGTTCAAAACAAGAGTTTGTTATATCGGCAACTGAAAGCTGTTCATGGTAGGCTTTCTCTGCAGAGATGACTGGCGAATAGGTAGCCAGGGGGAAATGGATACGTGGGTAGGGTACCAAGTTGGTTTGGAACTCAGTTAAGTCGACATTGAGGGCACCATCAAATCGGAGAGAGGCAGTGATGGAGCTGACAATCTGTCCAATTAGTCGGTTCAAGTTGGTGTAAGTTGGACGTTCAATATCTAAGTTACGACGACAGATGTCATAGATAGCCTCATTATCAACCATGAAAGCACAGTCGGAATGTTCCAGAGTGGTGTGGGTGGTGAGGATAGAGTTGTAGGGTTCAACCACGGCAGTGGAAATTTGGGGCGCTGGATAGACAGCAAATTCCAATTTGGATTTTTTTCCGTAATCAACGCTCAATCTTTCCATAAGAAGGGAGGTAAATCCGGAACCGGTTCCTCCACCAAAACTGTGGAAGATGAGAAATCCCTGAAGACCAGTGCATTGATCAGCATTTTTCCTGATTCTATCAAGAACCAAGTCGACAATTTCTTTTCCAATAGTGTAATGACCTCTGGCGTAGTTATTGGCGGCATCTTCTTTACCAGTGATGAGTTGTTCAGGATGGAAGAGCTGGCGGTATGTACCAGTTCTGATTTCATCTGGAAGAAATACACATTATTCCAGATTAAACTATAAGTTTGGTGTAGGCGAGAAACCACCCCCGACACAGAATTGTAATGTAATACAGATGGGAGAGATTGGTGACGTGCAGTGTCGTCAAATTGATATTTCGTGGATGTGTTAAGGTGGAGCTTGGTTGGGTTTGCTCCGGACACTATTTCTCAGTTCACATAGGTAACAAGTTTTTGTAGTGCTTCTTGCATTTATAGTGCTAATCCATTCAGTTCCCGTGACTGTACATTTTATCAACAGAAACGATACTCCCTCGACACAAGACATACTTTTCTTTCAAGAATACCAAACGGTGGACACCAAAGTTGTACGAAATGTGAGAACTATTAAATCAAACCCTATAATTTCAAGGTTGGGCGAGTTTGGAACCCAGCTGAGGATTAATTATTATATTATTAACCATGTTTGTACTAACCTCGGAGTCTAAGTTTTCGACCTAAGCATATAATCGTGGCAAATTGGTGGTCTTTAGAAATGAAATGAAATGGCTTTAACATCCTACTGTTCTGTTCCACCTGGGCTAATAAAGAACTGAATTCGCCATGCAGTGTGCTATTCGGGACATTTTGCGCGGGCAGCAGCACTATGACCTACTCTTATATCGAATTCCACGTGCACGCAATATGTACACAGATATACGTTGTCCCTTGTTATGCCCTATGTCCTACACCACTGTCGCGAGGGGACCACTCCGGAGAATCCCGATGAACGTTTTCCAGGGTGGTTTTCGAACCAGCGAGTATTTAGTCATTAATGCAAGTACCTACCTACTACAGTTGGTTCTAAATCAACAAAGACAGCTCTTGGTACATGTTTACCAGCTCCGGTCTCGGCAAAGAAGGTATTAAAGGAATCATCTCCACCTCCAATAGTTTTATCTGATGGCATCTGACCATCGGGTTGGATACCATGTTCTAAACAGTACAATTCCCAACAGGCATTGCCCATCTGTACACCAGCTTGGCCAACATGGATAGAGATACATTCACGCTGAAAAAAATCGAATACATTACACACATGGATATACTTTGGAATTGACTTAAAGGGGGCAAGTCTAACTCAATCCTCTACAGTCTTCGACAATGCAAACACGACTTATTGGTCAATTTAAATCAACATTGATGTTATTCCACCGTGAAAAGATGGGCTTCTGATATCCAATATTTAAGACAAAATGAAAATTTTAAAATTATCAGAATGCTTTCAAGCGTCATTTGTAATAAAGCGACTCGATGAACGAGGCTGAGCATATCCCACATGAGCATACTGCCGGTGTATAGATTGGAATAACCAAATACCAAACACTGCCATTTAATTTGGACTCTACGGATACAGATTAGAAATTACAGTAAAAACAGAAACGATTCAATGTAAATCAGTTCATATACATTCATATTACATTATTATACGCGTTGCGACCCTGTCCATTTCTAGGTGCCAAAGAATAGAGATTTAGCTCCTTTAAACATACATTATGCAAGAGCTAAAGCTGCCTATTGCAAGTCTTTATTTAGGCCTCATATGTTATAAAGATAGGTTGCCAGGCAACGAAACATACGCCCACAGCAGCTAAATCGTCCGGGCAGTCAACAAGAGTTGTCAAATATTTTTAATTTTCGGTAATGAAACATTTATAATACACTTAAATTTGATTATAAATTTAAAGTCAATCGGATATTAACTTTGACCTCTAGGCCGTCCACAAGATTTTTCAAAGTGATTAAGGGCCATAACTCTGGCAGTAATTATCGGATATTGCTGAAAATCAATAGGATTCTTCGTCTCATGACCTTAAACACTTTGTATAAATTTAAAGTCAATCGGATATTAACTTTAACCTTTAGAGCGTCAACTAGATTTTTCAAAGTGATCAAGGGCCACAACTCTGACAGTAATTATCGGAAATCGCTGAAAATCAATAGGCTTCTTCGTCTCATGGCCTTAAACACTGTGTATATATTTAAAGTCAATCGGATATTAACTTTGGTCTTTAGAGCGTTGACAAGATATTTTAAAGTGATCAAGGGACATAACTCTGGCAGTAATTATCGGAAATCGCTGAAAATCACTAGGCTTCTTCGTCTCATGACCTTAAACACTGTGTATAAATTTAAGATCAATCGGATATTAACTGGCCTCTACAGCGCCCACAAGATTTTTTGAAGTGATCAAGGGACATAACTCTGGCAGTAATTATCGAAAATCGCTGAAAATCAATAGGCTTCTTCGTCTCATGACCTTAAACACTGTGTATAAATTTAAGAAAATCGGATATTAACTTTGGCCTCTAGAGTGTCCACAAGATTTTTTGAAGGGCCATAACTCTGGCAGTAATTAATGGAAATCGATGAAAATCAATAGGCTTCTTCGGCTCATGACCTTAAACACTGTGTATAAATTTAAGGTCAATCGGATATTAACTTTAGCCTCTATAGCGTCCACAAGCAATTGTGGACGCCGGACCGACAGACCGACGGACGGACGGACGGGGGCGACGACAATATACGAACACATTTAAATGTGGGCGTATAAAAATGATTAATTAGACCTTTATTTACTCAACAAGCTCAAAATCAAGTCTGTAGACCCACGGATGGCTTGGGCACAGTTTGGATTTAAACAATCGTCCATTTAAAATTTGTCTGCGATATCACCTCGGTGGAAGCGGACGTAAAATACAACTAACTACTACTACTAAAATTAAATCAATAAATGGCGGACCAAGCTAACGTTTACCGTTAGTCGCTGTTGTCACTACCGGAAACTGGTAATGAAAGGCCTGCCAAACGAGGCTACCATAGCCATTGATAATGTTACTTGATAATCGAGAATATGTGATTGGAGTTATCGTCTGTCAATCAAACGATCGCCAATTCTCATACACGGTGCACACATAATTGATGCCTATTTCTAATCCAAACTTCCAACAGTAATGAAATGAAATGGAGTTTAACGTACTACTGTTCTGCTCCTAACCTGGGCTAATGAAGACGGGCATACGCCCATACAGTGTGCTAGGAGGGAAATTTTGCCCGGACAGCGGCACTACAGCCTACTCTTATATCGAATTCCAACTGCCAAGGGATCTTTTACGTGCACGGGACCTCGGTTTTTCGTCCCATCCGAACGACTAGACAGCTTTCCTTGTCAGCCCCTCCGTCCTGTATCACTGACAAGGGAGAACCACGCAGGAATATCTGGATTAACTTTCTCGGCCAATGCAGCCGACCTCCAGGCTAGCGAGCTAGCGTCTTACCCACTTAGCCACGCTATTTGAGAACGAGGGGCGGCCATTTTGTCTGTCAGTTTTGGGCCGATTTTCACGAAATTCAAACTCAGCCGTCCTTAGGGTGTAACGGTGATAAATATTATGACTTCTATAGGGCCCACAAGCTAAAATAGCGATTTTTCGTACAATCAGGGACCATAATTCAGGAAGTTATGGTCCGATAGGCGCGAATATCGAAAGGAACCGAGATCTTTGAGTTATAGACTCACATTTCAAGTTTCGACAAAATCGGATAAAAATTAGGGTCCACAACCTTGATATACCATATTTTTACGCTATTTGAGAACGACCAGCGGACATTTTGTCTGCCAGTTTTGGGCCGATTTTCACGAAATTCGAACTCTGCCGTCCTTAGGGTGAAACGGTGATAAACGTTTTTTTTAAATTGGAAAAAAATTATGACCTCTACATGTATAGGGTCCACAAGCTAAAAACGCGATTTTTCGTACAATCAGGGGCCATAATTTAAGAAATTACGGTCCGATATGCGCGAATATCGAAAGGAACCAAGATCTTTGGGTTATAAACTTATATTTCAAGTTTCAACAAAATCAGATAAAAATTGTGACCTCTATAGGGTCCACAATCTTGATATATCATATTTTTACGCCATTTGAGAACGAACGGCGGCCATTTTGTCTTGTCAGTTTTGGGCCGATTTTCACCAAATTCGAACTCAACCGTCCTTAGGGTATAACGGTGATAATACGTTTTTTTAAATCGGATAAAAATTATGACCTCTATAGGATCCACAAGCTAAAAACGCGATTTTTCGTACAATCAGGGGCCATAATTACATGAAGTTACGGTCCGATATGCGCAAATATCAAAATGAACCAAGATCTTTGGGTTATAAACTTACATTTCAAGTTTTAACAAAATCGGATAAAAATTGTGACCTCTATAAGGTCCACGACCTTGGTGTACCATATTTTTACGCTATTGAGAACGAAGGGCAGCCATTTTGTCAGTTTTGGGCCGATTTTCACGAAATTCGAACTCAGGCGTCCTTGGGGTGTAACGGTGATATAATAATACTTATTTTTAAATCGGATAAAAATTATGACCTCT